TTGCACCATGAGTAGCCGTGTTTCAGGATATGTCCTCCACAGCTACTCCCACAATGGATCCGCCTATGTCTCCAGCCAATCACGCCTGGGACTGGGTACGGTCGAGAGTTTACAAGCGCAAATGGAAGGAAACTCGCTGGTCAGCTTTACTGAAGGTAACTGCACGCACCTCGCACTGTATTTGTATTACAGGGAAGGGTGATATCTGGTATCACCTGAGCCAGTGCTGTCCAGCTGACCCTCTATCAAGATCCCTGGAGGACACTAGAGTGGACCTTGCTTCGAAGGTCCAAGAGAGGGACAGTACACCGAGTTTGAAAGAAGGTGATACACAAACACGTACACATATAACTGAAGGAGAAGGAGACCCCAATAAAAATTTTCACCCACCAGTACAAGCATAGCATATTGTCCATAAGATCCGGTAGCACACTGCGTAAGCGCAGACTTTGCTTTGCGGCAGGCATAGCCAAGAAATTCAGAGAACGTAAGAGCACAAGGAAAAGTAAATGGAGAGTGAAACAGACAGGATTGTCTTTCACTTAGTCACAAAAACACTTGGCAGTGATCTCTCTACATTTCAAGATTTTGAAAGTAGCTTGACCTGCATGCGAAGATGGTGTGACGAACCAAATATTGCAAAACTATCCATACCCAGGCTGGGATGTGGATTTGACAAACTGGACTACTATAGAGTGCTCCAGATCATTGAAAAACCTTTAAAGGTTCTGATATAATCATTTCCGTGTACACTTTAGAGTGAAAGCCTTGTGTGAAAATTTTTCTAAACTAACTTTTTACTTACAGAATTTTTTTGGTAAATACTTTAACATTTTTTTTTTAAGTTTTACATATTTTTTAATACTTTTCGCTTTTGAGACGCTTATTTTCTCTTTTGATATATTATTTGAACATCTTTTATAATTTTTAAATTTAGTGGGTCTTTATGTAACCGAGTAATTTTCTGTGTGATTTGTGATTTTCTAGTTTTCAACTTTAACTTTCTATTTTCAACTTTTATTATTTTTTGAGATATACACTTCACAATATTGTACACATTATTTGAGCTACTGAAAACTACAGTATTGAGTTACTGCTAAAAGTATACCAACAAGAACCGCTATAGAATAATGGGTCATTATAGAGTACAGTTATGGGAAAACTGGAAGGTGATGATTTTTATGGGAATAGTGGCAGCAATCGTAGTGGGAGGACTAATAATTTTTGAAGCTGAACAAAATAGAATGGATGGCAACAACAGCTAAAGAAATGCAAATGGAAAATTGCGTAGCTTGTGCAAAAGCTAGATCAACCCTAAGAACCGAACCAGCCCCATTGCTAAAAACGGATAAGAAAGGATATTACTGCATGATATCTATTACAAAAAAGGCAAACCCTGAAGGATGTGACACATTATCTAAAATTTTCCCCATAATCAACAATCAGACAAAAACAGGTCCCTTTGTGCCACAGCCAGGAAACTACACGTGTTTTAATTTCAACGCAGCCAGACCAAAAATCAAGGTAGGGAGCATAGATCCTTCTTGGTGCGAAGAAACCATAACTAAAGTAGGTGATTTAGTGGGACCATGGGCAAGAGGAGAATTATATTATTACTGTGGGGCCAATAGATTATTCACAAGAATCGAGAATGAAATAACTGTAGGAACATGCGCAATGGTGAGACTGACAGCACCCTTAACATTAATCGGCATAAGACAAGATGAGCAAAAGGACAGACAGAAAAGAGCAATAGGAACATTCGATTTAAGTCTCAACTCACCCACATATATAGATGCTATAGGAGTTCCCCGTGGAGTATAAATTAGCAGATCAAATATCAGCAAGATTTGAGAATATACCCATCTTCTCAGCACTCTTCCCAATAACCCCAAATAAGAATGTAGACAGAATAAATTATGTTCACTACAATGTAATGAGATTAGCAAATTTAACAAGAGATGCAGTAGAAGGATTAGCAGAACAACTTGAAAAGGGAGGAGTGTGTGAGATGGTTAAAGGATACTGCTGTACTTTTATTCCTAATAATACAGCTCTGGATGGCTCCGTTACAAGAGCTTTAGAAGGTCTTAAGGTATTATCTAAAACAATGGCTGAACAGTCTGGTGTTAATAATCCTTTGGATGATTGGCTGACCGGAATTTTCGGAAAATATAAGGCAATGATTGTGTCTGTTTATCTCGATTGCAACTTTCATGGCAATAATTGTCACCTGTGGATGCTGTTGTATCCCATGCATCAGGTCATTGTGTAACAGGGTGATTGTGGCTGCCATAGAAAAAAAGGATGATTTACTGGCTGGTCTTCAAAATAAAATAATGTTGCTGTAGATTCTAACACTGTTAACATAACTCCTGCCTCAGTTAATCCTGTCTCATTGATTGATGAGAAAACTGAATGCAAGGAAGTAAAATATTTCGATCTAGGATGCATGAATGTTTGTTTTTGTTTGTATGAAAGGAACTTATTCCATAGTCAGAAAGACTGTGATGCCTGTGTGCAAGGTGGACCTGGAATGGAGAAGAGTAAATGAGTGATTCAAAGAGAAAAGCACGAATGCATTATATATTGATTAATGTACGAATGGTCATTAATGATGAAAGAATGTTTGACAAAACGAAAGCTTACTTTGTCATAGTTACTTATGTCTGTTGTTTGCTGGCTCTTTCAGAACAAGCATTCCTAATATTCCTTCTGTTCCCACTATTGAGATTTTAAAAAGAACCTTTGACCTGAGAGGATGCTCCAATGATCAATCCTTACGACATCCCAAGGGGCCTCCGGAAGGAATTTTCTCTCTGTGGTACTCCCACTGTTATCAAAGATTAGTGGGCAGATGTGGTTTTGCCCATATCTCACAAAGAACTTGCTTTCACTCCCATTCCACTACACAAAAGGGGAGTTTTTGCCCGGATGGAAGATGGATTCTTGGTCTTGCGCTAGAGGATGTCGGATGGAAGATGGATTCTTGGTCTTGCGAAAGAGGATGTCGGATGGAAGATGGACCTGTGCCTTATCATTATCGTGGTGTTGGTTAATAAGCTGTGTGTTATTCTTGGATGTGTGGGATTGTATTGTCGTTGGGGGGGTTCCTGTGTTTTGGTTTTGTGCAGTATGGCATATTTTTGGGTTTCATGTCAGTCAAATTGCCGTATATATCTAAAAAAAAAAGTTTTTGGTTAAAAATGATTATTAATTATGGATTTCTTTGTTTGAGGGAAACCTTACTCGGATGGATACTGGCCGTGATGCTGTGCTTGGTTCGCATGCGGGGATCTTCTGTGGATGTGCGGCTACACTTGTCCTTGGGCATTCTCCATGGCCTCACCACACCCCGGACTGAAGTGGGTCTGCAGACATACCAGACCGTCTGAAGAGTGTACCAGACCGGGTGGAGAGTGAAACTGAACTGTGATATTTGAGCTGAGAACAAGAGAGAAGATTCAGAATCATCCTATGAACAGACTGTGATGATTCTCCGGTGCACCGCATTGAGTAATACTTGATAAATCTACCTTTTTATTAATACATGTTCTCTAGGGGTGTAACGGTTCACGGTATGTATTGAACCGTTTCGGTACGGCCTGTTCGGTTCGGTACACTTGCGTACCGTTAAGGTATTCGGTATTTTTATAATAATTTAAATTTGTTATTAGCGCGATATTAAGCGCAGCGGAACAATGTTCCATGGTGAGTTTCTGCACGGACGCTATTGAGTGACGAGCGCGAGTAGGAAAATGGAATCATGTGAAAAGTGAAAGAGAAGCCAAAGTTTGAAGACTCTCCCATCTCACTACACTCTCCTGTTTGGGAACACTTTGGCTTCTCTGTTAAAATACATAAGGGGATAGACGAGTGGATAAATTTAAAGTTGTATGGCGACATTGTTCCACGGAGATCGGGCAGGCAACACATCTAACATTTTCTACTGCTGGAGATATTGTCACTGCAACCAGATCTATGCTCTCTTCAGAAAATGTGGATAGGTTAATCTATCCTATCTATCCTAACTAGTTGCAGTATTTCATTTTTTATTTTTAAAAAAATGTGTTTTTCTTTATAAAGAGTGCAATTTATTTAAAATATCACCCAAATGTGTCACTTTTATTTAATTTATGCAAGAATTCTATTGTGTATTGGCAGCTTTTCAAAATAAAAATTTTGTAAGTTCTTATTGTTTTGTACCGAACCGAATGAACCGAACTCTCTAAGACACTATACCGAACCGAATACGATTTTAGCGTACCGTTACACCCCTAATGTTCTCCTAAAATCATTTTAAACACGCATTGGACCCTCAAAAGTCCAACAATTTTAAGGCCATCGCCTTAACCACTCGGCCACAACAACTCAATTCTTTTATGTTGAAATATAGAAAAACACAGTGTACTTTCAGTTTTATATTTCCTTAAAAGATTTTTACATAACAGGAACAAAGCACTGACCGTTATCGGCAGGATTTGAACCTGCGCGGGGTAACTTCAATGGATTTCTAGTCCATCGCCTTAACCACTCGCCCACGACAACACATTTTTCAATGTAAAGCTGTAAGAAAACACAGTGTGCTTCTGATTTATTTTAAATTACACTAGAAAGTCTTTCAAAACCGCAAAAGTGACATCGTTATCGCCCGGATTTGAACCTGGTTGGGGAAACTCCAAAATATTTCAAGGCAATGGACTTCACCACTTGGCCACGACAATACAGCTTTGTGTCTTAAAAAAGCTGTGAGAAAACAGTGTACTTTCGGATTTTGTTTTAATTTACACTTAAATTTTTATTTGAAACAGAAAACCGTTACCGGCAGGATTTTAACCTGTGTAGGGACATCCCAATGGATCTTAAATACATCGTCTTAACCACTCTGCCATGAAAACTCAACTTTTTATGTAGAGATATAGAAAAACACAGTGTACTTTCAATTTTAAATTTTACATTTCTTTAAAAAGATCTTCACCTAACAGACACAAATCACCTAT